ATAGCTTCTTTAGTTAGCTCAACACTCGGAGCAAACAAACGGATTAAAAATAAAGATAATAAAATTCTTTTCATTTTTTCAAATGGTTGTATCACTAGCTATGGTTCGGTTTTTATCCAGCATTATAAGGGAGTCTGCCTCACCCATCACAATGAGCATAGCTCCACCGTCTGGGACTGGTTGACTAAATTTAATATGCACAGCTGTCGTACCATTTTTGATCAAGTCAAATGTTCCACTATTATCGTCACCACTATTTGTTAGGTTAAATACATATATGCAATGTGTCTTTCCATATTGTTGATAAGTGATCCCATTATTTTCATTGGAATTTATTAAACCTGTACCTTCATTCATATCGTGGAAGGCTCTAACATATCTTCCATTCTTATAGTCAAAGTCATAGGGTGCCTGGGGATAAGGTCTTCCATTAGCAATAATACTAATTTCTCTAACATTAAAATGTTGAAAGTTGAAGGGACTTCGTCCAATATTTCCAACATAATCCGAATTTGCAACTAGTCCTAGTGTGAGTCTTCTAGGAATTTGATCCATGAATAGGTTTGCATTAAATTCATAACGACCTTGACTTATGAAAAGAGGTTTCATCATTGTTTTCCTGATAGCATAACGAGCAGGTTTAGTTTCTAATTTTCTTGCAATATCTAAAGAAAGTCCATCCATCAGATCAACCTTTTTCACATAGAGCTTACAGCTTACAACTTCAAATTGATAAGCTGAAGTTTGTGCTACACCGTTAGCTGGTGGGGCAATTAATACAAATTTTGCCTCATTTGGTAGTATCTCAACGTCAATTTCGCAATGATTAATTAGATATAGAGGCTGATTGAATATGTCTGCGTCAAGTTTTGAAATAAATTGCGCAGTTTTGCTAAGAGAAAATAGACTTTTGCTTGTAGTGAATGCAGTGCCTCCTTCAAGATTTGTGTCTGAATCATAATAATAGCCGGCAGCATTTAAGTGAGAATTTTTTGCTCCTAGAGAGTAAGATAGTTCATGTGAAAAGTATGTTTTGTACGCATAGAGGGAATTTGAATTAAAAATTTCTCTACCGTTTACATTAATTCTCATGTTATTAATAAAAGTTTGACCTATGAGTTGTATTGGTGCAACATTATCTGTTGCTGCAAGGTTTGTCAATTTTCCATCGGTATCTACTTTTTTAATACGAAACTCTGTGAATAGATAGACTTTAGATAAATCTATATAATTTTGACTGCTATGAATTTTAAAGTGGTAAGGTGTATCTGATAGAGGATTGCTAGGTAGGATTTCAAAGTTTTTGGACGATGAAATACTTACATTTGTAGGTGGAACTTGGAAAAAATCTAGTGCGTTTGTGATAGAATTTATACTATCACGATCAATTTTATGAAAGGACATTTTAATAAAATCCAAAGGTATCAGATCTTAATCTTTTTCGTTTTAGAAATTTTTGATGACTGGGAACTGGTTTCCTTTTTATACCCCTTCCAGCTCCAAATTGTTTGGGTAAGCCTCCTTTCTCTAATACTGTGTCAATTCCCTTTTTTCCTTCCGAGACTAGTGCTTCTTTTACTGGTTCTCCTTGAATAACTCTACTTAGTGCTCGTTGGCCTGTATTTAGTGCTTCCTCTGATACAGTAGTACCAACTCTTTTCATGATTGGAAGGAAATATCTCCAAATACCTCTCATAATGTCTCCAACTCCGGCTCCTTTTTGTCCATATCCTCTCTGAAAAGGAGCTGCTCCTTTGAAGTATTCATCTGAGACTCCATCTCCCCTCATTGGGAGAAAATCATCATAACTTACAGTGTTTGTATCAAATAAAATGTGAACCATTTTTCGTTAGAATGAAATTTAGAAATTTATGACCTTCTTAAATATGAGGACCAGTAGCACCGTCCCGAATTCAAATGGTACTAGTCGTCCGTTATCCATTGTTCTAAGTTCGATCTCAATCTCATTAACTTCCTTTGGTAGGACCCTTGCGTAAATGGGTGAATCGTAAATTTTTTCATAATATTCTCCAGGTGTTGCTCCTGCAACAGAAACAACTCTCAATAGCGAGCTGAGTGAGTTACCGATAATCATATTTTCGGTAAGTCCCTTAGAGTATACTGCAAAACTTGAAAATCCTCCGCGTAAATCACAGCCATATTTGGCTACTTCATTATTTCGAACCATATCAGGGTTTTCAAATCCTAACACATAACCAAGCTGATTTGAAAAGGAAAGATACTTTATCTTTGGATGATTGAACTTGACTTTAAATCTTTCAAAGTCAACGTGATAAAATATTTCAATTGCATCAATAATTTGTTTTTGGACTGATGAATCTATTTTGTCCTTTTTTAATCTACCATACTGGCGCAAAAGTGCTGGCATATTTGGTAAATAGTTTATTCTGGCTTGTCTTGTTGGTGTTTTTCCAAGAATTTTTGTTAGTACATGTTCCATTTCTTCAGTCCACAGAGGATCTTTAAAAATAGCTTCAGGTTCTGGAAGTTTTGGAAGTGTAGGTGAACTAGGTGAGGATTGCCCTTCGGTTGAAGAAGGAGATAGAGATTTTAATTCTTCTTCATTTTGTGTTAAAGGTAGAGGAGTGGGCAGAGAAGGTTGTGTTGGAGGTTGAGGAGTCGTAAGCTGAGGGGAGGGTTTTGGTCTTTGAGGAGCAGATTCTGGTGGTTGAGATAGAGTTTGTGGAGTGGGTTTCGGGGGTTGAGGTGTTGTGGGTTTTGGAGGCTGTTGTAGAGTTTGTGGAGTGGGTTTTGGAGGTTGAGGTGTTGTAGGTTTTGGAGGTTGAGGTGTTGCAGGTTTCGGAGGTTGAGTTGTAGTTTGAGGAGTCGGTTTTGGAGGTTGTGGAAGTTGTGGTGAGGGTTGTTGCGGAAGTTGTGGTGTAGGTTTTGGGGGTTGGGGAGTCGGTTTTGGAGGTTGTGGAAGTTGTGGTGAGGGTTGTGGCGGAAGTTGTGGTGTAGGTTTTGGAGGTTGTGGAAGTTGTGGTGAGGGTTGTGGCGGAAGTTGTGGTGTAGGTTTTGGAGGTTGTGGAAGTTGTGGTGAGGGTTGTGGCGGAAGTTGTGGTGTAGGTTTTGGGGGTTGGGGAGTCGGCTTTGGAGGTTGTGGAAGTTGTGGTGTAGGTTTAGGAGCTTGCTGAGTGGGTTCTGGTGGCTGAGGTGGAGTTTGAGGAGTGGGTTTTGGAGGTTGAGGTGCTGTAGGTTTTAGGGGTTCAGATGGAGTTAGAGGAGTAGGTTTTGGAGGTTGAGGAGTCGGTTTTGGAGGTTGTGGAAGTTGTGGAGTGGGTTTCGGAGGTTGAGGTGAAGTTTCTGGCGTAGGTTTTGGAGATTGTGGAGTCGGTTTTGGAAGTTGTGGTGTAGGTTTTGGAGGTTGAGGAGTCGGTTGTGGAGGGTGTGGTGATGGAGTTGGAGTTTTTGTTTTGGGTGGTGGAGGTTGAGGAGTAGGTTTTGGAGGTTGCGTAGGGGGTTGGATTGGCTGTTTAACTGGTTTTTCTTGTTCCTTTTCAAATGCTGGTGATTTGCTTCGAGGCGAAGTTTTGAATTCCTCTTCATCAGATGATAGAAGTGGAAGATTTTTAAGCTCCTCTTCGTCGGATGATAGTACAGGGAGTGATTTAAGTTCGCCTTCAGGCGATAGACGTGGGAGTGATTTAAGTTCACCTTCAGGGGATAACTTACGTTTAGGCCTGCGGACTTTGGGTTTATCAACCAATGTTTCTGGTAAATCCAAAGGCGAAGATTCTAATGTATTACTTTGGTGTTGTAAAGTAGCTATTATGAATTGAAGCAACTCTTCTGTTGAAGTATGTGAACCTCTAGGGATGGGGACACGGATAACACTAGCTTGCCCATCATTTCTAGTAAAATGGATGTCAATCCATTGTTCATCTAAGGTACCGATAGTTGAAGGCCACGAATAAGGGTAGCTAATGCTATGAAGACCACAAACCCAGTCACCAGAAAAATATAAGGGTTTTGGTAAATGGACTCTAAATTTATTTGGTTTGTTATCGGGGTAATCGGGGACATTGCTAGGAAGATAGACAAAAAATGTGTTTGACATTTTTTACTTGTGAATAGTGAAAAAATCTGTTCTTTTATACTAACTGCGTCTCATGAATCCACTCTCTTTCAGGATATCCCATAAACTTTACTAAAAGATCATATGTTCCATCTGGTCTCTTTTTCTTTTTCACAACTTTTTCAATTCTATATTCAGTATCAGCATCCTTACGAACGCGAGCTAATTCCTCTTTATAGAATGATCCTTTAAACTTTTCACCCTTTTCATCTTGGACTTTATAGCGAATGGGATCAACATTATCTTTAACTCTTTCAATTTGCAATATTTCATCTCCCCAGTTTGGTATGTATCCCTTTTCGAATACTCCTTTCCCTACGCTCATTCTGATATAATCTCCTTTCTTTAACTTGGGTCTCATCCTTTTATTTGAAAATACGTCACCATATATCATTTCCCATACATCTTGAGCATTATCAAAATTTACGTCTATAGGTCGCATACCATGTACTCTGCTTTTTGCTTTATTTATTCCCTCGATAATTTTGGGAAGGACTTGAACCCAATCCAGAGTTTTATTTTGTGCAAAGTACCGATAAATTCTCTGTTTAATATTACGTATAGCTCTCTCAGCCAAGGAGGCCTTAACGGTAGAGTGAGTTGCCTCTAATTTTTGAATCTCTTCCTTTTGAAAAAATTCTTTCATTAGAGAATTTTTAAATTCTGTTCCTTTATCCGAAAATATACGATGAGGTTTCATAGGCATTTGTTTTAATAATAAATCAAATGCTGTTACCATATTCTCTCCGTTTTTTGATTTTACTGGGACTCCGAATATTCTTTTGGAAAGGACATCGATTCCTAATAGTAAATATCTATTTCCTTGATTATGTCTTGATAATTTTTGAAAATCTGCAAGATCAACTTGAACATCTGTCATAAAACCTGCAGGTATAGTTTTTGCCCTTTTAAAATGAATGCGCCTCGGGCGCATCAACGTGTATGTCCTATGACCCTCCAAATAATCCTGTATAACTCTTTTAGGTATATGTTTGAGGACTTTTCTAGCCTCTCTCCAGAGTCTATCAACACCTGAAAATGCTGCGGGCGATTCAGGATTGTTGTAAAGATTTTGCAAAAGTTTTGTATAGTCTGCCATTTTTATCTCCATAATGCTGGGCTGAACCTATTTATAGGTCTTCTCCTACTTGAGGGTTTCCTCTGGGCCCATTTAACTGTGTTAAATTTTTTGGAAGAGTATGTTCTTTTCTTGAACTTGGGAGTTTTTATTTCGGGTTTCTCATCTTTTGTGGTAATATTTTCTGTTGGTAATGAAGAGGGTAGATCTTCTTTTAACGTTGACGTCGTATCAGATCGACTTTGAAAAGATGGGGATGAGAAATCTTGAGTCCACATATCATCTTCTTCAGTTAAGCTTGTTGTAGGACGAGCCATGATACCCTTTGAACTAGCCACCATCTCTACTTTGACTGGTCTATTCTGTTGTTCATTTCTTAGCTGTAGATATCGTCTAAACTCCTGATTGTAATTAATATTTTTAGCACTAGGTGTCTCTTTTTTACGTTTGGTTATTTCTAAGCCACGACGAATAAAATCCAAATTTGGTTCACCCGTGTCATGAGTTGTAAGGCCTTTGTAAATTTCCTCTGGGACCAGAATAAATTTATTTGCCATTATTAAAATTGAGTTTAGTTGAAATTTGGTTCTTTTATAGACGCGCTCCCTATCATTCTTGCGACCTCAACAAGTATAGGTGTAAGGAGGGCAGCAAACACTCCGACACCTCCACCTTTTTGATTTATAACATGTCTTGCTCCTCTTTCACTTCTGACTCTGCTCATACAACGAACAAATTCTGAATAGGGTAATAGACGTCTCTTTTGTTGGGTAGTTAGATGGAACCTGGACTTTACAATATTAAGGCAAATTTCTGCTATTGCTAAGAGTTGATTTGTATTTGAATGTCTCAGTAGTCTTTTACGTTTTCTTTCAGATTTTGTCTTGGATAATAATTTTAAAAAATCAATGTTTTTATGAACTAGTTGGCTAACCATTTTTTGGAATAAAGATAAGTTTCTCTTCATCGTCCTTAAATATGTTTGTTCTGAGACGGAGAGTTGGATCTGATGAAGCGTGCATGTCTATGACCAAATATCCATATGGATGTTTGGTTGCTTGCCGATAAGCATCGAGGAAATAATCCAACTGGCTTGGAAATAATTGTACACCTATATTTCTGACAGAAAGCATAGAGTTGGGGGATCTCATTATAATAATGTATTGAGAGTTTTGGCGTGCAACCTTAATTTTGGGGTCAAATAAATTTTGTGTAACAAAAATTATGGAGAAATTTTGGTGATGGGATTTTTTGGTAAATAATTCTGATAAATATTTTTCGTTAATAGATAGGAGTAAATCGTCTAGAATCAGTAGTAGAGGCTTTGGATATTTTTTAATCACCTCCTCTGAAGGGACGCCTGCAAATACACCGACTCCTGATTTTTGTAAAAGGGGTACAATATTGTTCATTTCACCAAAACAATAGAGTATTGATTTTGGACTGGGATCGATAAGTCCACTAGAGCCTGCAATGAATTTTAAAAGAAATGTACTTTTGCCGCTGGAACTAGGACCAGCTAAAATCATTCCAAAAGGAAGTTTAAATTTTAAATCTTTATTAGAAAATAAATCCATAATGAATACAAAAAATACATAGAAAAATCATTTAAATATCTTTTCAATCCGTTGGTATTCCCGTTACTGAAGCATTTAAGCTTTGGAAGAATTCGTCTATATCCTCTTTTGATGGAAGTGAATCTGTGTGTTGAGATGTCTCCTCTGGTATTGTGTTGGGGATTTGGGTTGGTTGTGGTGTAGCAGGCTCGGTCTTAGGGCAGGGAACCACAGTTTGTGTAGTAGCATTGTAGGGTACATTAAAGACTCGTCCTTTGTTTTTTACTTTGAAAAAACAATGTCCAGGTAAATCGAAGAATGTATCAAATGGAGCAAAACGACTTCCTTCAAATCGCGAGCAATAAATCACCACTCCTTCTTTGACTATTATAAAATCTAGTTCAACCTCTGTACTTTTACATGAACGACACTTCCCAACTTGGTCATAGGGAATAAAACGAGGTGTATTAAATCGGGGACTGGAAATGGTGATCCCGCTAGAGGTGACGTTAAATTCAACCTCAGGAAAAATTTTTGGGAAATTTTTGGAATTCATATTAAATTAATTACATTTAGGAATTATTATCTCCTTTTATACTACTCCAGGACTATTAGACGGGAAGTAAAACAAAGGGTTTTCAATTTTTTAACATTCCTTTTTTTCTCTAAATTAGTACTATTTCCATTTTAATTTCTATTCCTATTTTTCCCTATTTTTTTAAACATTTTTCCTATTTTTTAAGGTCAATATTTTCCATTAAAAGAGAACATTTTTTCTAGGTCAGAGATTACCTAGAAATTTTTTAACAAAAGAAAATTTTTAAAAATTCAAAGGAAAAAGGAAAAGTTTTAAGTTGACCCATAAAATCTTTAAAAATTCAAAAGAAATGAACGCACGCTGCGCGAAAAAATACAAAAGAAAATTTTTGAAGAGAAAAGGGAAAAAATAAATTTTTAATTTTTGGGGGGAAAGGGACCTAAACCTTTTGGTTTGACAGGTTCGGTACCGGATGTCCCTAACCCTATTGATTTAATTAATTACTAATTACATGGAAATAAGGTAAAAGAAAAATTAAGGGAATAAATTACACGGAACCCCCCTTTCTTATATCAGTTATCTTTGATAAGACCTCTTGGGATGGTATGAGATGTCCCTAAACCTTTAGGATGACTTTAATTAGTGGACTAATTACATGGAATTAATTAGGGATTAATTTCACGGACCCCTATGCCCCTGACGACGGGGGCGTTGGGTTAACTACTAAAACTTATATTTTACAATTTAGGTTGGTCTTTTTATTGTGTTTTTGCTTTGTCCCAACAAGCAATTAAAAGAAATGTGCAGCATAACAATAAATTGCAGCAAAGTTAATTTTACAACAAAAATTTTATTAAATGTAAATTTACGCAATCAATTTGACGAGAAAATAAAAATGAAGAAAAAAAGACGAAAAAAAAATAAATTTTGGAAGCTGCGCGAGGTCACCTACTAGGTAGTTTATTTTATTGGAGAAAGGCAAAAAGACGTTTGTACACACAATACATTTATACTAAAATTGTGTGTGAGTGTTCAATTAAATTTTTGAACAGGACCAACAACGACCGATTGATAAGAGGTAAAAAAGCAAAATTTTTGCTTTGTCCACAAAAGCTCAAATTTTCACAATTTTTCAGAATTTTCTTCTAAAAATGTTGCTAACAACCCTGTCGATCCTCATCATAATTTTGCTAGCCAGTTTGCCCGTTTCTGCATGGCCCGATGGTGCTCCTTGTCTTAGAACTGTCATTGATTCTATGAATCCATTGGAAGCTGTAGAGCACCAGGGAGGATTGCAATTAACTGAACCTCCTTTCCAAATACAGTTGGATGAGAAATGTTATAGACCTGGACAGCCAGTTGCTTGTAGGTGGTTTTTTTGGGAAATTAAAAATCAGAATTTTTTTCAGAATTAAAAATCAGAATTTTTTTCAGAATTAAAAATCAGAATTTTTTTCAGAATTAAAAATCAGAATTTTTTTCAGAATTAAAAATCAGAATTTTTTTCAGAATTAAAAATCAGAATTTTTTTCAGAATTAAAAATCAGAATTTTTTTCAGAATTAAAAATCAGAATTTTTTTCAGAATTAAAAATCAGAATTTTTTTCAGAATTAAAAATCAGAATTTTTTTCAGAATTAAAAATCAGAATTTTTTTCAGAATTAAAAATCAGAATTTTTTTCAGAATTAAAAATCAGAATTTTTTTAAGAAAAAATTTTAGAATTTTTTTTTCAGAATTAAAAATCAGAATTTTTTTCAGAATTAAAAATCAGAATTTTTTTAAGAAAAAATTTTAGAATTTTTTTTTCAGAATTAAAAATCAGAATTTTTTTCAGAATTAAAAATCAGAATTTTTTTAAGAAAAAATTTTAGAATTTTTTTTTCAGAATTAAAAATCAGAATTTTTTTCAGAATTAAAAATCAGAATTTTTTTCAGAATTAAAAATCAGAATTTTTTTCAGAATTAAAAATCAGAATTTTTTTCAGAATTAAAAATCAGAATTTTTTTAAGAAAAAATTTTAGAATTTTTTTTTCAGAATTAAAAATCAGAATTTTTTTCAGAATTAAAAATCAGAATTTTTTTAAGAAAAAATTTTAGAATTTTTTTTTCAGAATTAAAAATCAGAATTTTTTTCAGAATTTTTCAGAATCAGAATTTTTGCCAAATTTTTTTTTCAGAATTTTTTTTAAATTAAAATAATTTTTCAGTAATTCTTCGTGGCAATGCAAGCACTTCTCTATTTAAGGGATTTTCAATGCAACCAATAATTTTTAATGGGGCTAGAACTGGTTTTAGAAGTGGACAATTTGTTCATCTTGATGGTAATTTAATTTTTAAAAATTCAAAAAAATATTTTCAAAAAAAATTTTAAAGATAATGGTTCTTGGCAGTTTCAATGTTTTAGACAACGCGATTCTGTCACCCACAGCCACGATGAGGGAAAAGAAAGATTAAAATTATGGTGGAGGGGGGATGGGCAAACGGATACTGTGCAGTTTGTGTGAGTTGTTTTTTGATAAATTTGAAAAAAAAATTTTTTGGAAATTTTTTTTGAAATTACTGAAAATTTTTGAAAAAATATTTTTTTGATTTTTTCTTTGAAAAAAATTTTTCTGGAAATTTTTGGTGAAAAAAAATTTTTTTTAATTTCAATATTTTCTAGTGCTACAGTAGTACAGTCGTTACGCCGTTTTTGGGTTAAATCTGTTCTATCGGTAAATAAGAATTTAATTAAAAAATAAAATTTAATTAAAAATAAAAAAATATTTTAAAGGCCCCACTACCTCCATGTTCACTCTTCCCAAACGGCTTAGGTTGGCTTTCTCCCCCGCCAACAACACCTCCTCCTGCTGATACATTTAAACTTGAAACATTTCAGGTTTCAAGTTTAAACTTGAAAAATTCAAGTTTTTAGATGTTTAATGGTAAAGACTCTGCCCAACTTGAACAGGCTTTAAGCAGGAGTTTACCGGCTAGCAGACATCAAGTAAAACATAAAAACATTTATAAATCATCAAGTTTTTAAAAACAGGCGTTTCCACAACGAATATTACAAGGGCCTGGGTTTGCGCAACAGTCTCCTCGTTTCTTAGAGGTTTGTATTTTTATGTTTGTGTTTTTTTGTGTTTTTGCATTTTTAATGTTTGTGTTTTTGTGTTTTTGTATTTTTTGTGTTTGTTTTAGCTGTTGTATTTCAAGTTTAATGTTTTATTCAGTTTGTTTGTTCAATATTTTTGAAGCTTGTTTGTTTTCTTCAAGTTTATTTAATGTTTTTGTTTTTAATGTTTTGAGTTTGTTTTTGTTTGCTGTATTTCAAGTTTATTTAATGTTTTAAGTTTGTGTTTCTGTTTGTCTTTTGTGTTTTTTAATTCTGTTTCTTCAAGTTTGCTTAATGTTTTGTATTTTTTAAAACTTTATTTAATGTTTTGGGTGTGTTTTGATTTTGTTCGGAATGTTTTAAGTTTATGCTTATTTGTTTCAAGTATTAACATTTATTATAGAAACCCTCAACAACAACCACGCCTCCTCCAACTTTTGCCGAACAACAACAACAACAAAGACCACAATTCCAACCTTTCCAGTCTCGCGGTTTTGTCCCACCATTGCGACCACAACAAGCAGGCAAATTTTTTAATTATTTTAAATAAACATTGGAATGTTTTGATATAAAAAATGTGTTTAAGTTTGTCATGACTCATCCCCAAGTGCTTGCCTTCGTTGGCTTCCATTCTGTGCAACATCCGCATGGATGCAACAGTTTTGTAAAGCAAGCTGTCGGCTTTGCTAACAAAAAAATTTTTTAAATGAATCAACATTAATCATTAAAAATTTAAGAAAAAATGTCTTGCCAAGAAAAATTTGTCATCATCTTACCTAAAATTTATTTATATAAACTTTTCAGCATATAAACATAGAAAGAAAAAAAAGTTTTAGTTTATACTTTTGTAAAATGTTTAAATTTATTATAAAGCTTCTTTTATAATTAAAAGAAACCTGAAGCAATTTGGGTAAAGTTTGTAATAAACTTAAGTTTATAACAAACTTAAGTTTTTTAATTTATAAAGTTTATAAACTTTTTTTAAAGTTTTATAAACTTAAGTTTACAATAGCAAATAAATTTATTTAAGTTCTAACTTAAATAAACCTTTTTGTCAAGTTTGATCTTAGACTTTTTAAGTTGTAAAATTAAATAAACTTACTTAAGTTTGTAAACTTTAAACTTTTTTTAAGTTTGAACTTAAACTTTTTTAAGTTTGTAAAATTAAATAAACTTAGTTAAGTTTATAAACTTCTTTTTACTTAAATTTATTTTCTGAGCAAGTTTTTAAAATACTATAAAAGCGCAGTACTTTTCTCAGGTAATTTGTCAAAAGTTCTCTTCACTACAAGTCACATGAACTTTTTTTTTCTTGCGCTTTTATTTTCTCGCTTAAATACTTTATAGCGCGCATGTTTATTTAAGCTTTTTTTTCTTTTTGTACTCAAAAGCTTATGTTAGCTAAAACAAAAAATTTTTTTAAAATTAGCTGGCTGTTTTCAAAAGAAATTTTCTTTCCCTTTCCACGCGATTTATGACAACAAATAAAAACAAATTGATTTTTAGCCGCGATTTTTTTTATTAATTTTTTGTGTGGATTTTGTGAATTTGCGCGATTTTTTTTCTTCCTTATTTATTGTTTTTCTTTAAAAATAATTTCCACTTCAACTCATTTTTCTTTTTAACTCTCTCTCACTCTTTACTTGTTTCACTCCCGATTTTATTTATTTTTATTTATTTTTTCATTTTTTTCCACTGCACTGACCATAGCAACACAACTTATTTTTAAAAAATCACTTTATTGTTTTTTTAGTTAGCTTCTCATAACAGCTTCTCATGAAGCTTCTCTCATGAAGCTAACAATTATCCCTTTCTTTTATTGTTTTTGAGTTGATTTTTATTTTTGTGTTTATTTTATTTTCCCACTCTTTTTTTTTAAAAAACCCAAGGATATGTACACAATTAACAATTTTTATTTCCTTCTCGTTTTCAGATCAAAGACAAAAATCCCGAAAAACACACAAAAAGAGGAGGATATATTTACTTTTTGTGTGTGTGGTTAAAATATTTACTCCATATTTTTTATTTAAAAAAGAAAAAATTAATTTAGCTTAAAAAATAAAAGAAAAATTGTGTGAAAGAAAGAAAAGCTTTTTTAGTTGTTTTAAAAACAATTGAGCTTTAAATGAAAGAAAAATTTATTTTTATAATTAAAGCTCTTAGTTAGTCTTTTAACTAGCTGTATATAAAATTTACCTAAAAATTTACTTAATATTTATTATTTCAATTAAAAAATAATTTATTTGTTTTTAAAAATGCCTATAAAAGAAGGCAAAACATTTGTTTCTAACAGAGGTGGGTCGGAACAGTCCGAGGTGTCGGAAATCGGAAGAGACTGAAATCGGAACTGACTCAAAAGTTGGAACTCGGAAATCGGAAATCAAAATTTTTTTTGGAAATTAAAATTTTTTTTCGGAAATAGGAAGGAAAAAACGGTGGTCGGAAGTCGGAATTCAAACCCACCTCTGGTTTCTGATAAATTGCTGACAGACGTGGCAAAATGCAAAAATTTCAGTTATTGGACATTTTGAACTTTAGGTGTTGTAAATAAATTTATTTTATTTTACACTTTGAAATATAGCTTCTCTGTTCTATTTATTTTTCGCGTTGGCATAGAGAAAGAGAGAAGAAAGTAATGTTAGAGAGAGAGAAAAAGATCCAAATAAATTTTATTTTCCCCTCATTATTTTTCTCTTTTTACCCTTATTTTTTCATTACTGCCAGTCAAATCGATCTTTACATCGTTTTTAACATTTCAATAATTTATAGATTTTACACCGTCTGGGTTGTTTTTAGGTAAGGTAAAAAACTTTTTTAATCCTTCACACCTTTTTCTCTGATTTATGTATTTATTTATATTTTTTTCCGGAAAGTGTCTGACTTTCCCGAAGAAAATGTATTTTTTCTTTGTATTTTGGTAATTGTAATTATTCCGGAAACCTGTCCTTGTTAAAAATACACATTTTCCGGAATACTTTTTCTTACTCAAAAATACATTTTCTCACCCTTTCCGGAATTGTAATTTATTTTTACAAATTGTAATTCTTCAGAAAACTAAAAGAAATATTTTTCCGGAAAGTGTCTGACCTCCGGAAAGAAATATATTATTCCGGAAAAAGGAAATGTATTGTTCCGGAATTTTTCTCTGCAATGTATACTTTGTATTTTCGTTCCGGAAACATTTTCTTATCTTTTTCCGGAATAGTAATTTATTTTTACAAATTGTAAATATTCAGAAAGCTAAGAGAAATATTTTTCCGGAAGTGTGTCTGACCTCCCAGAAAGTGTCTGTTTAAAAAGTGTTTGTGATTTCCGGAAAGTGTCTGACGTACTTTGTATTTTCAGTATTTCTAATTATTTCGGAAACATTTTCTTTCTTTTTCCGGAATTGTAATCTATTTTACAAATTGTAATTCTTCAGAAAACTAAAAGAAATATTTTTCCGGAAAGTGTCTGACCTCCTGAAAGCAATGTATTATTCCGGAAAAAAGAAATGTATTCTTCCGGAATTTTTCTCTGCAATGTATACTTTGTATTTTTGTTCCGGAAACATTTTCTTTCTTTTTCCGGAATTTTAATTTATTTTTACAAATTGTAAAATAAATAAAACTTTTTCCGGGAAATTTGCTATCTTATTTACAGGCCTATTTACAGGCGCTATTTTCTTTTAATTTCTACCCGTCATTTTAAAATTAATTTATTTATTTTTCTCTGCAATGTATTTATTTTTACATATTTGTCCTTGAGAGCTAATAAATTTTTGTTAAAAACACCAAAAAAGTTTCTTCTTCTCTTTTTATTTTTCTTTCTCACCCCCTCCATCATTAATTTTTAATTTTAAAGAGATATTTTAAACTATCCATCTAAATTTTTGTATTTTTAGCGGCGTTTTTGCTCCTTTTTAAAAAGAAGAAAAATTTTATTTTTCTATTTAAAAACGTCACAACCTGACAACTTTTGTTCTAAGCAATATTTTTAATTTTTCTTTTTAAAAAAAAATTTTTTTTAATTATGGCATTCTCCCAATCTTAAAAATTCTTTTTTTGCGGAGCAGTTCAACTGAGTCCGCACGATTGAGTCCCCACGATTGAGTCCGCACGATTGAGTCCCCACGATTGAGTCCCGGCACAATTGAGTCCCGGCACGATTGAGTCCGCACGATTGAGTCCCCCTTGTATATACCTCAATTGAGTCCCCGTGGATTTAATTATATTAAAAAGGATTAAGAGGGATATCGGGGGATTTTTAGAGATTAAAGTGAACATCAGGGGACTTGTATTCGACATCGAGGGATCAAGTTGTATATCGGTGGATATGGAGGGATTTAATGCAACTTTAAACTTTTAGGGTGATATCGGTGTATTAAGGTAGATATCAAGAATTTGGATGGATTTCTTGATTTTTTTCTTCCTCTCCCAGCACTTCATTATCCTCGTTACTGATGGTCTCCCTTGCAATTTAATGAAGTTCACGGCGCGAATCGACGCCCCCACTGGTTCGTCTTCGGCTAGCTCATATTTCTCGACGATGATGTCCCGCTGCGAGTCATTTGGACATGTTGAGAAGCGTATAGATTTGTAAAGAAAATTGAAGAACTAAAATTTAGAAAAAATGAAAAAAAAGATAAAAATATCCTAGGATTTGGAGGGATTAAAGCTAATAACAAGGGTGCACACCAACTGTAGGATCTCAGAACCAATTTGCCGACATTTATTTATAAAAAATTAGAAATTTCAAAAAATTTTTAAAAATTCAAAAAAATTAAAAAAACTTGTTTAATCTCAATGCTGAAGTAAGGAAACATGTATTGCAAGCTGATACTGTCAACTAACTACGCCCCACAACATTTTTGAAATAATCCCGCATGCCGGATATGGAAATTTTAACTTATTAAATCCACGGGGACTCAATTGAGGTATATACAAGGGGGACTCAATCGTGCGGACTCAATCGTGGGGACTCAATTGTGCCGGGACTCAATCGTGGGGACTCAATCGTGCGGACTCAATCGTGGGGACTCAATTGAGGTGTACCGCTTTTTTTGTTTATTTTAATTTTTATCAAGTTTAATCACAAGGTGTGTGTTTAATAGAAATTTTTTTTATTATTTTTTTGCCTTCTATTTAATTTATTTTTCTATTTTTCTATTACACACACACAGCGTTCGACAACTTTAACGAGATTGAAAAAAAAGAGAATAATTTTTTTAAACAAATTTTGTGAATATTACACACCCCAACAACTTTTCTATAAATTAAAAAAAAGGAGGGAAGAAGAAGATTTAAATGCAATCAGGCAGCAATAATAATAATAATACTGGCCATCATTCTAATAACAGCAACAACTTTTACCCAACAACAAATCAACAACAATATATATTCCAACAACAACAACTTTTACCTTATTCTAATAATGCCTCTAATTCTGCTCATTCTGTTAGTTTTTTTTTTATTAAAAAAATTTTTTTTTAATCAGCAGTCTTGGGGGAAAAAATTTTGGGGGAGGAGGAGAGGGAACTTGAGAAGAAAAATAATTTTTTTTTTTTTTATTAATTTTTTGGAGGGTGATTAGGAGGGGGAGGGGAGGTAAGTCGAGAAACTAAAATCGAGACAAAAATAAGGGTAAAAAAAATTTGGGGGAGGGAGGGGAACTTGAGAGAAATAATTTTTTTTTTGGTTTTTGGTTTTATTAATTTTTTGGAGGGGTGACTAGGAGAAGGGAGGTAAGTGATTAGAAGGAGGAGAGGAGGGAGGTCGAGAAACTAAAATTGAGACAAAAATAAGGGTTAAAGGAGTGGGGGAAAAATTTTTTTTTTATTTCTCTATTTAATTTTATTTTTATTATTTTTTTGGGGGTAATTCTCTTATCTTTTTAATTTTGTAAAAATTTTATTTTTACAAAATTATCTTTGATAGTTATTTATTTTTGTTTATACCAAAAATTAATTTGATGCTGGAATTTGTTCGAGAAAAAAATTTAAGAAAATATTTTATAGATAAAATTATGGTTGTACTCAGAACGCTAGGGTAGGGGGAGGGTGTGTTGGGGGGGGGATGAGAAACATAATAATTTCATTGGGTTTTAAGAATGTTTTGGGGTCGGGATTTGGGTCGAGTAGTGAAAAAATCAAAAATTTAAAATAAAATTTATTTTTTTAAGTCCCCTTTGAGACGTTCAGTAGCTCAACAAGCCGTTTCACCATTAGCTTCTCCTATGGAGTCTAGACGTGTTTTTATGGCAACTCATCATCAAAATAATCCGAGTGGAGGAGGAGGTGGATCCCCACCACCGGCACAATTAAGTGGAGGACAAATTATGGGAGCTGCTCCGCATCCTACAGCAGCTGTTGGTCTGTCTGCTGTTCAGTTAGGTTTGGTTTTTCTTTTTAATTTTTTTGGTATTTTGGTGGTTTGGGGTATGCCTCTCCCCGTTTATTAAAAAAATAATTTTTTCACTGGCTTTGATATTAAAAAAATTTTTTTTGTATTTTTGGAGTCACTTACAAGGGAAACATCGTTTAGTGCGAATTTGATTTATTTTTGAAATATTTTTTTGGTACTATTCGACAAATGACACTCGATTTCCTATTTGCTAGCCCACCACACTTTTACGTTTTTTTTGTGGTTTCCCAAGTTTTTTATTTTTAAATGTGCTAGGGATTTCTCGTTACTTTGATATTTTTTATATTTTGATTTACGCTCTCCCAAATAAATTTTTAGGTTTCCTTTGGGTTTGGGTTCCTTAAATTTTTTTCGGATTTGTTTTATCTTATTTTGACAGCGAGACCATCCACTTTATCTTATGTCCTTTTCCTAATTTTTCAATTTTTAATTTTTTAAAGGTTACGCAATCCCCGCCTGTCGTTTGCTAGTTGATCCCCACACCGGACAACAATTCTTTGTCCCAACTGTAACAGCTCCACAACCATTAGCTACAGCAGCTGCCCCAGCATTTTTTCAACCAATATATACACAACAAACTGCTTATTTTCAACAACCCCCAATAGCTAATTTTTCTTCAAATAATTCTTCAAATAGTCGGCAGCGTCAACATAATCAAGTTTTGTTGTCTCCTTCATCTTCCCCTCCTAATCAGCATCATCAACGCCATTTACCAGCAACGGCGGTTTCGCAACCACAAGGTTTGAGATGATTTTCTTTTTTTCCTTTTTGGCTCTCCTTTGTTTTAGGAGTCCAGTGAGGTTTATATGACTCATAAAAAACTTTTTTCGGACTTATAAACTTTTTTTGGACTCGTAAAAGGATTAAGGGCTAATAAACTTTCATGGACTTATATACCTTCACTGGTCTAATAAAAAATTTTGCGGACTTATAGGACTTGAGTTGGACTCGAAAAAGATCAAGGGCTAATGAAGGGCTGATGAACTTTGCTTCATTGGAGCCATAAACCTTTCAATAGACTTATAGGACTTCAGTTGGGTTCATAAATTAAACTTCCAACTTCCTAAATTATTTTTTAGCTCTCCACTTAAAAATTGAAAGAAAACGTTATTTTACACAAAAAATTTAAAACGTCATTTACAATTTGGAATGATTAGAGGGGAGAAGATAAATTAACTTTAAAAATTAACCTGTCTTTTTACAATTTTTTTTTTGTAATAAAAAATTTAAAAGACTCAATTTTTAATTTTTTTTTGCAAAAGTTTTAAAAAGCTCAAAGAATTTTTGCAAAAAAAAAATTTTTATGAAAAAAGTCCGCAAAAAATCCATAAAAAAAGTCCCGCAAAAAAAATCCGCAAAAAATGTCCGCAAGAATTGTCCGCAAGTAAAAAAAATTTTTTTCTTTTAAGGTCCTTTCCTCTACAATATTGGACATCCCCAACAACAGTTAACCTCTTCTAGTGGTTTTTATAGTAGCACTCAACAACAACAATTACAACGTTCCTCTTCCTCATCTAATCATCATCATTCTCATCATTATGTAACCAGTGGTGGTGGTCCGCATCGGAGTCAAAGTTTGGAATTTTTGAGAAGATTTTTTTAATTTTTGAAAAATTTTTTATTTAAAGGCCCACTCAGTACTTCTCCTCGAGATGACAGATTGGAAGACTCCTCTACCGCCGGACTTCCATATAAAGTTGAAATGCCACCATCAACAGTTGGAAGTATTGCATATAATGCTGAAAGGTTTTTTTGGGGTTTAAGGGATTTTTGAAAATTTCTGTTTCTAGACGAAGACCAAGTAATGATACATATGAAGGTTATGATGTAGAAACTGAAGAAGAACAAATTCAACAAAGAGGAAATTATTATAATGATAGAAATTACCATCAACAGCAACAACAACAATTCCAACGTCGTGAACAGGCTCGCCTTTCTACAGAATCGAGACAAAGCAATTCGACTAGAGATAGTGGGAGAGGTTTGATGATTTTTAGTTTATTATTGGGTACACCCCAAGGTACCGCCGAGCTCAAGGTACCACCGAACTATAATTTTGTTCAAAATTGTCGAATCCGGGACGCCCTGGTATGGCTCGATGCGTCTCGACGAGCTGAATCGAATTATACCAGTGCGTCCCGGATTCGACAATTTTGGAACAAAGTTATAGCTCGGTGGTATCTTGGGTTCGCGGTTCCTTTTTTCGCGGTTCCTTTCCTTGGCCTGCTCCCGTAATTAAATTTTTTTCAATTTAAGGTGGATTAGTGTTTGGCTCCCCAGATAATAACAATAATAATAGTGATATTGAAGGTTTATTTTCTCGTTAATTTATAGTAATACAAATTTTTATTTTTTTAAAGAACCCTCTCCTCGTTATTATTCCTCTTATTCTCCCCCACCTTCTCATCAATATAAACACCAACAACATCCCCAACATTACAACCAAAATAACCAAATGTCAACTTCAACAATTATTGGAGGAGGTGGAGGTTCTTCTGATTCAACTTCTGGATTTGCTTCAATGATTGGAGGTTGTGAAAATAAAAATTATTCAAGTAGAGGAGGTGGAGGAGGGACATTTTTATTGGAAGATTCTTTTCATCATTCTCCACAAAAACAACAACATGGAGGAGTGTTTGGGGGAAATACTAAAGCATCATTTGCGTCGTCGCCACCTTTTACTAGGTTTTTTTAAATTTTTGTGAGGAAGAAGGGCGAAGATTAAAATGGCTAGCATTTCTAAAATGCTTTCTAGTCTATGGATTTAAAGATTTATTTTAGAAAATCGAAGGTGAAAAGGGCAGCGCTTTGTTGTATAGCTCACGGGAGCAGGCCAGTATATCGTCGAGCTATAACTTCGTTCAATATTGTCTAATCCGGGAGACCCTGGTATAGTTCGATGCGCCTCAACGAGCTGAATCGAACCATACCAGGACCTTCCGATTTCGACAATTTTGAACGAAGTTATAGCTCGGCGGTATACTGGGTTTGCGGTATAACGGTGTGTGCCCGTAGCTCACGGTGTAGTTGGTAGAGCACCTCTTTATGTTGGAGAGCGAAAGCCTACTTATTGGTAGTTAGGCAAGGAGGTCGCAGGAATGCCTGCTTGGGGCTAAACTTATCTCTCTTCTTATTTTTCTAAAAAAATTTTCTTTAAGAGTAAAAACAACAACAGATTTGCCTTCCCACCACCAACAACAGCAACAATCATCTTCACAAACTCGAATGAAAGCAATTCGAATGGATATAGATTTGAGTAGTTCTGGACTTGGTAGTGGTGGTTCTACACCTTTGGAAGGAAATGGAGGTGGATTAACACGTAATGGAAGGCCGTCGTCTTTTGGAAATGTATTCGCTAGTGGAGGAGGAAAAGGTGGAGGAACAGATAAAATAACTGCTACAACTACAGCAACAACTATGGCGGGTGATGAATTATCTGTTAGAGGTGGTGAGAATAAAATTTTTATTTTTAATCATAAGGCTTTTTCCTCTTCCGCCTTGTATTATGGGGTTTTAAAGAGGGCCAAAAGGCGTACCTCCCTGTAAGATACCCCTCAGAATTAGGTACACCGCTATTTAGGATACGTTTATTTTTATTAACTTCGTGGGCCAAGCTTTTTCCTCTCCCACTTTCTATTATAGGGACTTTAAAGAAGGCCAAACCTCGTATAAGACACCCCTCAGAATTATAGTAGGTACACCTCTATTTAGGATATTCAATTTTGTGGGCCGTTGGGTGTGAGGAAGGGGAAGTTATTTAAACGACACCCCTTATTTGGTGTATAAGGAAATGTGGGGTATAAGGGGATAGGGACACCTTCTTATTTGGTGTGCCGTCTCAGTCTCATAAGATACGGCCTCATAGCAAGGTCTATAATTAACTAAATTTTAATCAAAATAAATTTTTTAGCCACAGTCTTGCGTACTGCCCCACCAACAGCCTTTACAATATCATTTAATGATGAACATGCTCAACTTGGTGGACAAGTCTCTATTGCAGAAGTTTCATTACAAGAAGCAGCACGTCAAGCGCCTAAAGGTCGTCGTCTTATGTTGTCACGCAAAAACGAAAATATCAACAAACAAAAGCAACAGCAACAATTACAAGATTCTGGTTCTGAATGTGGAGGAGATCCTAAACGTTGGTTATTTCGAAAAATGATGATGGGAAGAAAAGGAGAAACGGCCGCTAAAAGTGGGGGTGATAGACGTAGACGCCGTAGTGGAAGCGCTATATCTGAAGCTACAACTTCAACGACAATGAGTGGTGGGGGTGGACATGAAACAACAACAGAAGAAGGACAAGAAGATTTGGCATCAGAAGCGGGTACTTATGTAGTTGAAAATAAAATAAAAACTACGGGAGCAACAACAAATGATGTAATGACAACAAGTCAAATAAGTGGAGTTAGTAATACGAGTAGTAATAGAACAACACAGAGATGTTATGATAGGTAGGGTATATGCTTTGTTTTTAAGACTATAAACTTGAAAAGAATAATAAATAAACTTGAATTTAATTAAGATTACAAACTTAAAAATCAGAAACTTGATAAACTTGATTAATTTAAAAAATTACAATCTTGAGCTAATTTAAGTTTATTCTGATTCAAGTTTGTATAATTGGAAAGTTGGGAATCAGAATATTTTTTACAAACTTGAATTTACTGAATAAATTTGCAAACTTGAGAAATCAGAATAATAATAAACTTGAATTAATTTAAAATTACAAACTTGAATTAATTCAAGTTTATTAATATTCTGCTTCAAGTTTGTAAATAAAATAAACTTGAATTAATTAAAATTGCAAACTTGGGAAATCAGAATAAAATAAACTTGAATTAATCTAAGATTACAAACTTAAATTAATTCAAGTTTATTAATATTCTAATTCAAGTTTGTAAAATAAATAAACTTGAATTAATTAAAATTGCAAACTTGGGAAATCAGAATAAAATAAACTTGAATTAATCTAAGATTACAAACTTAAATTAATTCAAGTTTATTAATATTCTAATTCAAGTTTGTAAAATAAATAAACTTGAATTAATTAAAATTGCAAACTTGGGAAATCAGAATAAAATAAACTTGAATTAATCTAAGATTACAAACTTAAATTAATTCAAGTTTATTAATATTCTAATTCAAGTTTGTAAAATAAATAAACTTGAATTAATTAAAATTGCAAACTTGTGGAGCAGAATAATAATAGACTTGATTCTTAATTAAATAAGTGTACAAACTTGAATAAATGTAATCAGAATTCAGAATAACCAAGTAAATAAAACCAGAACAGAAATAAACTTTAATTATAAACTGAAGCAAAAACATTCTATTTTTAGTGATTCTGATTCATCTTCTTCAACACATGCTTCTACACATACTTCATCAACTGGACGAACTCCTTCACCTGGTAACCCTCCTATTTCTGCTACTACAACAAATATTCGTCCACCTCTTACAATTAGTGGGCAAGTTGGGAAGCGTTCCTTAATGAGTGATTTGCGTCAATTAAGAGAAAGTGGACAGGTAAAAAAATTTTTTTGGAAAAAATTTTCAAAAAAATTTTTTTTTAAGATTGAAAAACCTTCAATAATTAATCAACAATCTGCTTCTAATGTTAAAATTGCCAATAAAAAAATTTTGCCCAAAACACTCGGGGCGCTTCCAACAACAACTAAACTTGCTTCAACAGCACCTCCAGTTCCCCCACATCGTGGTAATTCTGCTGGTGTTACTGCTACAACAATAACAACAAATTCAAATAATTTAAAGAAGAATACTACAGTGTTTGCTTCAAACCCAATTCCATTTAGTCGTCCATGTCGTTGTCCTACACAACATCAACAACAACAACAGCAGCAACAAGCATTTAGGTATTGAAAAAATTTTTTTGAAAATTTTTCGAAATTTTTGAGGAGACCTATTAGGGAATTAAATGAGAAAAAATAAAATTTATATACATTTTTTGTAGTAAAATCCAGAATTCTCGGTGCAGAAGCGAGCCGTAAGCTTCTAAAAATAATAATACTTATATATAAGTGGTGTGAAGTTACGTGGTAGTAATATATTGGTGTTTTGATAAAAGAAAGAGAGCTGTTCTGTGTTGTTAAGAAAAATACTTTTTTAATTAGAAAAATTTTTTTTAATCAAAAAAAAATTTTTTTCAATTAGAAAAAATATTTTTTTCTAATTAAAAAAATATTTTTTTCTAATTAAAATAATTTTCCTTAAAATTTAGCTTAATATGTGTCTGTATATGTGTTGTTTTTGTCCTTTTTCCTTTAAATATTTTTAAAATTCCTTTAAATGTTTTTGCTTCTATATTCTGCTTCAATATACCCTTTAAAAAAATTTTTTTAAATTCCCCATTTAGAAGAAATGATGGTGGCCGTTTTTCAATGCGTCCAACATCTGCAACACGTGCTAATACTAATGCTTTAAGGCAAACAGCTTCATCAAATGCTGCTAAAGTAAAGATTAAAAAAATTTTTTTTGGAAAGAAATAATTTTTATTTAATCAGTTAAAAGCTGCGGAAGAAGAAAAAATGTTGGGTTGGTTACGTCGTAAAGAATATGATCCTCGTAGAGCTGTTGCTGAAGCAGAACAACAACAACAGCAGCATTTATTATTGCAACAACAACAACAATTAAGAAAACAACAGTAAGTTTTGTTTCTTTGTGCTTTTATGTTGTGCGCTTTGTTTGTTTTGTTAAAACAAACATTTGTTTTACGGGAAAATAAGCTTGTGTTTTTCCTGTTTACAAACTTAAAACCTTTTTTCAAGTTTACTCTGTACGCTTATACCTTCGTAAACTTGAATTATAGACTTAAAACTTTTTTTTAAGTTTGTAAACTTGCTAAAACCTTTCCTTGCTTTTCTATGCTATTTTTGTCAAAACAACATGTTTTCTTGTTGTTTTGTTTTATCAAAACATGTTTTGATGTTTTTCTCTTGTTGTTTTTCTCATAAAACTTTATTAAAAAACATTTTTTCACTCTCTATTTATGTTATACTATTTCTCTTATTTTCTCTAATTTTTAAGAGAAGCATTTACTTCAAATCGTTCAATTTCCGCAACATTAACAAACCAAGAACAACAACAAAATTCAAAACAACAAAGTTCATTTTCCCGTTGGAAAGCCGCTCAACAAAAACAACAACAACAATTAATTAATAAACCACCACCATTAGAGTCTCACCGTTCCCATGATGAATTAAATAGATTAGCTGAAGTGTGTGATGATGAGGATGATTCTATTGGGTTAACAAGTGATTCTTGTAATGTAAGGGAGAGAATTTGATTTATTGATTGAAAAAAATTTTTTTTTAATTTTTTAAAGACTAGTCTTCAAAGAACAGTTGACGAACTTACTCAAAAATGTCATAAAAGCATTGCTTTACTCAAGTAAGGGAATTAAATTTTTTGTGTAAGGAAGAGAAAGATATCCAGCTGGCTACCATTTAAAACGTTCACTAGGCGTTGGTTTAAGATCTAATAAAATAGAAGGTGAAAGCAGCGTCCCAGTAGCTCAGTTGGTAGAGACACCTGTACGTGGTGGGCGAAAGCGCCTAGCAATAACTGTCAGGAAGTCGCAGGATCGAAGCCTGCCCGGGATTAAACTTTTAAAAAAAAACTTTTTTTTTAATTTTTTTAAAAAAAAAAAAACTTTTTTTTTTTAATTTTTTTTAATTTTTGAAGGCTTTGTAATCAATCTTCACTTTCTCCATCTGTAGAACACTTACTTGAACGTGTTGCACAGACAGGGGTTTTAACAGAAGAAGGAAGCAAAGTAAAGGGAGGAGGAGGAGATGTTTCTTGTAGTGTAAAAAGCGGTGTAACCTCTTCTAACGAAAATATTTCTGATCGTTTAGAACAGCTTAGTTCAGCATTTGATGCAATACAAAAATATTTGGAAGAACAAACAACAACTACATTTTCTGGTCAACAACAAAAACAACAACAATCACCACAACGTACATTTAGTGGAACTTTTGTAGTGAAAAAGAGTCGTTCTGGAGGGTGAGTTTATTTTTAGAAAAAAAATAAAAAATCAGAATTTCATTTAAAAGAAAAAAATTTTTTTTAAAGTGTTTCACTTGACGTGGCAGATGAGGATACACTAAAATACCAAACTAAGGAAAAGAAAAAATTATGAAAATTAATTAATTTATAAATAAAATTTTAATATTTAAAATATTATCCCTTGTTTAAAAACATTTTTTAATATTAGAAGTTTGATTGCCTTATTATTAGAATAAATTTTGTAAAATAAATATTTAATTTATTACATGGAAAGTTCGAATAGGTCGGGGTTGATGAATTTAGATCTGATAACGATAATTATCATCTCATTTGAAAGTACATTAAAAACAGCCTATAAAAACTGTTTTAAGTGGATTCTACAGTAACCATATCAAAAAATTATTTTGAATATTTTTTGGGCATGGAAGACTCAGAGAGGTGTTTCTCCGCGAATTTTTAATTGTTCCTCCAAGTGGTTCACACACAGCAGCAGCACCGCTTACGTGTTGGCTGTACTCAGACTAAAAAACAATAAATGATTGAATCTTTTATCAAAAATTAACCTCCACAAACTCGACCAGGTTTAATTGCTAGATTTGGTGATCAGTATATGTAATCATCAGGACATTCACCGGTATAACTCTGATGAAAATAAAATTTTATAAAAACAATTTCATTAAAATAAACCTCTTCTAAATCACGACAGTCATCATTAGGAGAACATTTATGTCTTCTCTCGTTACATTTATCTATAAGTTCCACAAATACAAAGCCATGACGATGTTGTCGATTTGGTGAGAGTAAAACCTTTCGGGCATTCGCAAGCTAATTCATCTTGACCATATTCTTTAAAATTAATTTCATCAACATTTTCATATGTCCAAATAAAATTTTTCATTTCCTCTGTTCCCCATATTTGGCGCGGCACATTATATTCTTCTTTTCTTGTTCAGGATTCGATGGGCCCAATTTTTACACCGCATTGTTCAGATGCGAGTATCAGTATATTTCTTAATTTTTTAATTATTTAAATTTTTTAAATTATTTAAATTTATTTTTAAAATTATTTTCCATTTATTAGTACTTTTCTCTTATTTTCTTTTTCATTACTATTTAAATATTTTTTCATTATCTCCCCCCCTTAATTTTCTCGGTACTTTATTAATATGCTGCAACCTTATTTGAGATTAATTTTCCTTTTTTTTTGCCTCGGAATGTCAACTTTCCTTTTTTATGAATGTTAATTTTTGGTGTTAGTCCTATTTTTTCTGTTGCCGTCTATTTTTTTCTTCCTAATAAATTTGCCTTTTTCTTAAATGTTTGAGGGCTGCAGCAAAAGAGGAAAATTAATTGGGACTCAAATAGGGCCGGGCGGAATATGAACAAAGTACCATTTTCTCTATTAATATCTGAAAAAATTACAGAACGTCATCCATAAATTTTTCTTTCGCCTGGCTTGTTTTGCCTTTATTCAGTGAATCCATAATGGTTATTGTCCTCTTAACTATTTCAGCAATTGCCATAGCCCAATGGTTATTGTTGAGATTGCAGGGTGCTAGGATCTTTTGCACTCTTTTAACCTGCCAATACCATTCTTGGCAATATAATTGGGCAAATTGTAGTCCTTCACGCAAAGGTGTGGGATGCAGATCCACGGCATTAATGTTCCAAATAAGCGTCGATGACGTCGCCAGTGACCCAGTCGCCATCTCGTAGGGTAATAAGGCCGTCCCATCCCAGGTGATTCTTCTTACCTAACCTATTAATCTTTATCCTTTAAATTTTCTTCATTTTGTAATAAACGCGTCCAGAAATCTTCCATTTCGAGATGTGGTATTTTAACCGCATGGGGATTCTCGATTTGTGACAAGCGTTTTCTTTCCTGTTTTATATTAATTGCCCTGTGAAATTATTGTTTAAAAATATAATAAGCAAAAAGGGGTACTTAAGTAAAAATACCGCGGTTTCTTCACTCTTATTTGAATATAGGCGGGGTAATTATTTAAGGGAGGGCAATTAATACAAGTTTTACAGTATTTATTTTTAATTCATACTCTGTCGATGCTTCTTTGCTTCGAATTATTTCGGGGTATATTCTCAACTTGTCTTTAATCAGTAATAATGAAAAAAGGGGGCCCTAGGTCTTTGTTTCCTTATTCTATGAAATTACCATGGGTTCTTCAGGTTTAATTTCATTAATTTCTTTTAAAAGTTTTTCATACGGCTCAATTTCAAGTTCATTTTTATTTCCAATTTTATAATTCACATATTCACATTTAGTCAATAAAACATCATCAAGTGAAGATGTCATTTTTTTCATTATCTTAATTTAATTTAATTATATAAATTTTATTTTAATTAGTTTTTACATTTCTTCTCCCAATTACAATGTTATTAATTTCTTCTTTTTTTATTTTAAATTTCTTCAATAACTAGATTTAAATATTTTTTATCTAATTCATAGTTTAGTTTTGCATTGACGTCCTCGTCTTTGCAAAACAACTAAAATTTTTAATAAAAATCCTTTTAAATTATTTAAACCTCACTATAGCGATTTAGCATTTAAATCAACATCTTTGCAGAATAACTTAAAATTTTTTATTAACACTAATTTTATTTTAATTACTTAATGCTGAACCCTCACTAGTGTATCCGATATTTAAATCCGATATTTATTAAAAAGGACTTTGGCACATCTCACAATTTTTTCCTCTTCATCTTTCTCGTCAGTACAAGGTCCCTTTGTAATGCTTCTTTTGTACTTATTTTCATTAATTCCTATCTTATCGGGGCAATTTAACATTTTTACATTTGTCAGTTCCTAAATCAAATTGTTATTTTTATAGTTATTTTAAATTTCAGTGTTATCAGTCGTAAAATTTTTTTAAATTCTACTATCAATCCAAATTTTTCTTTTAAAAGACCATTGTCGAAAGACAGTGTTACATGTGTAAATCAGGCTGTTTTTGTAATATTTGATCCGAATCCGTGGGTTAACTAAAATTATAAAATAATTTATTTGTATTTATTTTTAATTTCCAGGTATTAGTTTGGTTTATACCCCCTTTTTTTCTATTTTCTGACCATTTGAGTTTTTTTACTTTATTTATAATTGCTTTACTATAAATCTGAACAAAATTAGATTTAGTTAAATTTGTGCCATTCGACTCAGCTCGAAGAGCACTTTTGAAAGATATATAATTTTCCATAAAAAGGGAAAGAATGAAAAGGAAAAAATCGGGGAGGTAAACCAAACTAATACCAAAAATTAAAAAAAAACTTTTTAACTCTTACTCTTATTTCTACTAAAATTTTTAATTCCAGAATATAATGTTTCTTACACAAGAATATTTAGTCAATTCATTTTGCTGTGCATTATTAAGTTTATTTTCCTGTTCCTTTCTTAATTTAACAGTTAAGGGCGACATTTATTTTTGGTGGTATTCCAAGTTTGTATAGAAATTCACTAAATTTTATATTTTATAACTGTTAAATCCTGGGCTCCAGCTTAGGGCATGCGTTCTATTAACTCTCTTAATCTACACAAAAATATTTAATCTTACAAATCCCTAGATATCTCTGCTAATCCTCTAAATTTTACATTAATTGAACACATGACCTAAACTAGAGCCAAGCACTCTTTAACCTTATACTCTCTTTCTTTTCATTAAAGTCCTCAATTTCTTTAATTTAATAATTTATTATTTTTATTTATATTTATCTACCATTGTCAATATAATCGCGGGCGTGTTCAAGCGGGTAATGGACATTCGAAATCTTACTAAAGTCCTTGACCAACTAAATATCTATTTATTTTATTAAAATCTCTTTAAAATATGCCTGATATACTTCAGACTCTGTAAGAAGAGTAAATGAAGTTACAGCTTTATTTCTGCCTTTGTACGGGAGGACAATTCCACGTTTCTTTAATTCATTAATATTATTTTTTATATGCTCAAATAATTGTTATAGGTCAGAGGGGATTATACCAATTTAAAATTATTGTTTAAAAAATCTCTTAATCTACACAAAAATATTTAATCTTACAAATCCCTAGATATCTCTGCTAATCCTCTAAATTTTACATTAATTGAACACATGACCTAAACTAGAGCCAAGCACTCTTTAACCTTATACTCTCTTTCTTTTCATTAAAGTCCTCAATTTCTTTAATTTAATAATTTATTATTTTTATTTATATTTATCTACCATTGTCAATATAATCGCGGGCGTGTTCAAGCGGGTAATGGACATTCGAAATCTTACTAAAGTCCTTGACCAACTAAATATCTATTTATTTTATTAAAATCTCTTTAAAATATGCCTGATATACTTCAGACTCTGTAAGAAGAGTAAATGAAGTTACAGCTTTATTTCTGCCTTTGTACGGGAGGACAATTCCACGTTTCTTTAATTCATTAATATTATTTTTTATATGCTCAAATAATTGTTATAGGTCAGAGGGGATTATACCAATTTAAAATTATTGTTTAAAAAATCTCTTAATCTACACAAAAATATTTAATCTTACAAATCCCTAGATATCTCTGCTAATCCTCTAAATTTTACATTAATTGAACACATGACCTAAACTAGAGCCAAGCACTCTTTAACCTTATACTCTCTTTCTTTTCATTAAAGTCCTCAATTTCTTTAATTTAATAATTTATTATTTTTATTTATATTTATCTACCATTGTCAATATAATCGCGGGCGTGTTCAAGCGGGTAATGGACATTCGAAATCTTACTAAAGTCCTTGACCAACTAAATATCTATTTATTTTATTAAAATCTCTTTAAAATATGCCTGATATACTTCAGACTCTGTAAGAAGAGTAAATGAAGTTACAGCTTTATTTCTGCCTTTGTACGGGAGGACAATTCCACGTTTCTTTAATTCATTAATATTATTTTTTATATGCTCAAATAATTGTTATAGGTCAGAGGGGATTATACCAATTTAAAATTATTGTTTAAAAAATCTCTTAATCTACACAAAAATATTTAATCTTACAAATCCCTAGATATCTCTGCTAATCCTCTAAATTTTACATTAATTGAACACATGACCTAAACTAGAGCCAAGCACTCTTTAACCTTATACTCTCTTTCTTTTCATTAAAGTCCTCAAT